TCCTCCTCTCTCTTAAGTAATTTTTTTTTAAAAAATCAGTAAAATACTTGCGGTTCAGTATTACAGGTCCAGCTCACATTTCTTCGAGTAATCTGTTAAATTTGCAGGCTTGCTTTTGACGCCTGGCTCTGCATCAGCAGAGGTCTCCCAAAGCCCGGAGCAGCGGCTGGGGATACGGGGCATCTCATCCGCTCCGTCCCAAAAGTAAAGGAAAAACTTTTGGGACTCCGCAGAGAGTTCTACCCACCCCTGCCGGCTCTATCTCCGTTTCCTCATGGAAACGGAGTTTTTTCGAGCCGCCATTCCGTTGTGAAGGCGGCTCTGACAGGCGGTGGAAGCTGACGATCCCAAAGGAACGTCTGGCAGCAACAAACAGCAAACCGGAAGTCTACCTGTTGCCTGTTTGATAGGAACGCAGCTATCCACTTATGCAGAGGAAATGCCATAAGATTTTAGTTTTAGAAGTAGTTTGTTGTGTACCATTGAATCAAAGGCTTTACAGAAGTATATATAAATTGCATCAATTGCTTTACCCTGGTCGAGTTTTGTTGACGGATTTCCCCTTTCCTGAGGAAGCGCCAGCCCCCCTATGGCCTGCCCTCCTTCATTTCTCCCCCACCACAATGTAGGGACTCAGGTTAGGCTACAAGACCCCTGTGACTCAACTGAAGAAATGTCTGCAAGAAAACCACCAAGCTCAGAGAGCACCAAGGAGCTCTCATTTCAACCCTAAGTTACAAATATTAACCAAACCATACAAATTTAAGGGGGCTTCCAGGTGGAGAAAGGGTGGCCTAATATGCAGGGAGGGATGCCAAAGAAAAAGTGGGGAGATGGGCCAGCTGGGCTTCGGAAGCAGGGGCGGGTTTCAAAACCTGTCACTACCGGTTCGCTCGTGGGTGCACACACGCTTGCGCACTTGACGCTTCTGTGCATGTGCAGAAGCGTCCAGGCAGAGCCTCCTGCCACTGCCGCTACTGGTTCGTCCGATCCGGGGTGAACTGGTAGCAATCCACCACTGCATTTGAGGGGGAAAGATGAAGCCAGAGCCTCAAAAGCAGAGCCTGCTCAAAGGACACCACAGAGTTTGCCTGCTCCACTTTCCAGAGCATGAGGGAATTTGTTAAAGTTATAGAGCAGAACACCTAAACCTCCTGATACTTCTGGCCCAAGGATTAAAACATGAGTAAAGAAATAATTATATGGATTTAAAGAATTAAATCTGTATAATCCCTATAGTGCTTTACAGCAAGGGTCCCCAACCTCTGGGCTGGGTCCCACTACTGGGCCATGAATTTCATGGGTTCAGAAGTGGACTGGGTAAGCAGCTGGCCGGTGCATGCATGCACGTACACACCGGCCCGCTGTTTGCATGGCCAGCTCCTCTCCCCCCCCCCCCAGGCCGCCAAGCCATAAAGGTTCTGGACTGCTGCTTTACAGCATTCTCTGAACGATTTGCATATTTCAGCCTCTTGCCCCCAACAATCTGGGTCTTCATTTTACTGACCTCCAGCAAATCCCCAGATCTTAAAGCAGTAAATCCTAATGCAGCCTCTGGTGTATGGAAGTTGGCATGGGAGGGGGGGCACATGTTTCTCTTTGGTCCTCCAAAGCCCAGCTGGATGATTTTTGGCAATTATCAGCCCCAATGGATCCACCCAGGATAGCATTTGTCCCCTTTCTCTTTGAGTCAAGGGGGCTGAACAGAAGCACCTAGAAGAGAGGCAAGCAGGACCTGGGGGTGTCTGGGGACCTCTTTCTTTTCTATTGTCTCCTGGTCTGTCTACCTGAGAGGGACAGTCCTGCGAACAGACTATGGGGGGGGCTGTTTGACCCCGATGCCCATTGTGCTGAGCGTTCAAAGGAAAGGTGAGCTCTACAGTCAATAACAAATGCATTAAAAACACATGAGCCCATTAGGCTTTTCCCACAAAACAAGAAGTGTTGTTTCTGGGCAACAGCTGAATTTAACCCTGTCAGCCAGTAGGTCCCACATCCTCCAAAGCAGTTCCCACCTGGATGCAGAGTGCAAGAAGAGCCTGAGCCTCTTTTGGCAGGCAAGGGCTGGAAACGAGCCCCCCATTTCTCTGGGATTGCAATTCTTACAAATGCAGTCAGAGAATATTCATTATTGGCTAAGTGTGATTGGACACACAAGGAATTTGTCTCCGGTGCATAAGCTCTCATTGTACATACAAACAACTATTATAAATCATAAGTTACAACAACAGAGCGATAAATGAGAAGACACCAATAGGAGAAGGTAATAGGAAAGATGAGAAGGATCTCATCTTGGAAATTTTTTGAAAGCTCAGCTCAGAACAACCAAGCCCTCCACTCATCCGAGCACAGAGGGCACCTTAGCTGCTGCCATGCCCACCAGATCAAAAATGTCTCCACCCTTGGATTCTCCTCCCCAGGGCAGGCCGCTAAGCAGAACAGATTGGAAAATCAACTCAACAGGTAGCTTTTATTTTGATGGCACAGAAGGACAGAATCCTGCAAACTTGACTGTGTTCCTCCTCATGGTTCAGTGAATGAGGGAGGAGCTTCCGAATATGATCGTATGGACTTCTGGACTGTAAAAATGATTCAGCCCTTTTACCTGGCAAGGGATCTCCATCAAGTTCACCATCTGTGCTCTCTCCACCACTGCACAGAACAAGACACATTAGAGGAGGCACTTTGTTGCACATCTTGGTGGCCCCGTCCCCGCAGAGTAACAACAGACACTACCACTTCGATGTCTCCTCTTTTACTTTTCCTTCTGATAGGACACCACCACTACAATCCACCCAAGACACAACCTTTTCTGCACCTCTTAGAGTAGATGTCCACTTTCCATGTTCTCATTCTCTCATTTTAAGGAAGCCAGCCACTGGCACTCCCATCTGTTATGTGGTCCAGCTTCTTCTCTGTGAGTGGCATCTTTCAGTAGCAAGTATGTCCCACACATTTCCATTCTTTTCCCCTTCCTCCTTCCTTCCTCCATCCAGTGTTTTATGTTCTCCATTTGATTTTTCCAGCATTATAGCAACCTTTCCCTCCCTCCTTTCTCCCTTGAGCTCCCTCTGAGCTAAGGACCCTCCCTCCGAGTGGTGGTGTGCAATTTCATTGCCTCAACATGGCAACAACAGCAACCCATCCACACAACAGCAGTCACCCAACACCTCCTTAAAGAGACCCACAGACTCCAGGGTAATGGATTAGCAAAACAAGTTGACCAGATTGAGGCTGGAGGGTCAGAAGAGCTGTTCCCCTCAACTCATTGGGATCACAAGGCAGTTGGGCCACCATGCTTGTCCTATAATTATAAGATGACAGACCTGGGTTGGAAGGGACTTTGGAGGTCTTTGGAGGACAGACAGGGGTCCAGTCTTGGCTTGAAAACCCCCAGCAATGGAGCACCCGCAACTAAGGAGGCAGCTGTTCCACTGTTTTATAATTGTCATTGTCAGAAAATTCCTCCTTCCTTTAAGTTGGGCCCCCATCCAGCCCTCAGAAGCCTTGCAGAATAAATCCCCGCCTTCTTCTCCTCAGGCACTTCAGTGCTGTCTGGGGATCTTGCCCCACCTCGGATCCCTGGGTGCCCTTTCTGCCTTGGGGTGGGGGGATCACAGGGCATCTACCCAGCGCAGAGTGGAACAGCTGCCCTTCCCTGGCCCTCCCTCCTTTGAGGAAGCCTGGCTGCACCAGCCCTACTGAGCAGTGGCAGAATCAGTGGCGCCTTGTCTCTGCCTCAGCCAGCTATCTGACACCTGTGAAGCTGACTTTTCCTACCTGTGGTGATCCTTCACTCCTCACTATTAAAACAACAACCTATTCTTAGCTATGACCTTAGTTCAAATCTATCAAGATCCTTGAGAGTCTCGAGCTGTTTCCTGATGGATTAGCAATTTCTGTCTCCCCGTCATCCCGACCATCTGCACATTTTCTGAGTGTGCCTTATGTTTTTTCATCTGGATGAAAGATGCCTGCTGGGGATTCCTATGCAAGGAGAGAGATTAAGGGTTAGAAAGAGGGAGGAGGTCCCCAAACTGCAGGGAGGCCCATTTTGAGGGGGCTTCTCAGCCCCTATGCCTTCCCTTTCTGCAGTGTTAGCGAAGACACAGAGGGTCAACTCAATTAAAACATTGACTCTCCCCTTTCCACTTAAAGAGCAGCTTAATGCCTGGGGCTACTCCAGAAGCCGCATGCCTGGCTTGTCCCTCCCTGGCTATGCAGGGAGAATCCCCATAATTCCTTGATCTTTTATACATTTATCAAATTTCTATTTAGAAAGGAAAGCTACTGTGGAGTATTCCAGCCAAAAAAGGCATCAAGAAAGTGGGCCCAGCCCCCCTTCCCACCTGGCCCCAGCCTGGGATGGGGGTGGGGGAGACTGCAAGGCCATCAACAGACAATCCAGGACTTGCACGGGGATTTATCATCACATCCAGCGCAGAAAGGCTGCTGCAAACATTTCTGGATGCAGCCATGGGAACCACAACTGCAAATCTCTGGCAAGGAAAAGGGAACATCCCTTGTGGTTGGTCCTGAAAAGTCTGCACCAGCCACCAGCTGCTGGCCAGGCACAATTGAAGGTGCTGCCTTTAAAGCCCGAAACAGCAGGAAGGCCTAACTCTCCCCCTCTCCCCCGTTCTCCAGAAACATCCACAAGGGGGCTGTCCGAGTGACTGGCTAAACTTAATCTACTTGGACTTTTTGACAAGCCCCACACCAAAACCTCCATGCACATTTAACAGAGATGGACAGAAGCATAGACAGCCTGACTGGGCCTGAGACGCTCAGCTGGTCGGGTCGCCCTTGGCAGAAATCCAGAATCCAGAGGTCCTGCCTACCACCGTTTGCTTGCAAAAATGGTCTCCCAGCTCTCTGAACAACCTTCCAAATAACCAGCCACAAGCACCACAATAAAGCACCAGAGGCACAAAGACCACAACCGTTTCTTTGAAAAAGGAGCGATCTGCTTCCCTGGGCTGCTCTGCAGGAGAACTCACCGCAGCTGGGAGTGGAGCTTCGTGGCTTTCGAGTTGAAATCTTCCCAGACAGGATAGGAGCTCTGCAAGACAAGGAAAAAAGAGGTTGAGAACCCCCAGCCTCTCCCTTCCCTGGGTAACAGCAGAGACCCATAAGGCAGTGGGGGGGGGGAGGCTGCTCCTTTCCCTGGGGTGCCAGAAAGGCCCGCTGGAGCCAACTCCTTCCCACAAGTCAGAAGCCCCCCCCCCCAAGATCCGGGCCTGCCCCAGCTCTACTCAGAGCAAACAGGTCATGCCATTTGGTACCTTTGGCCACGCCAGGTGTCGTCTAATCAGTTTGTAAGGTACGGCATGTAAGTAAGAATCTGCCAACCCTCACCAGACACACAGTGGCCTCTCACAAGACAATGCACAATCTCAACTTGATCTCTCAACAGTCTCCTTGTTTTTCAAATATGTCTCTACGGCTCTACAGGCTTCAACCCAGTGATACAGCTCTGCTTCAGGTTGTGCTGCAGGCCAGTAGTGGGTTTCAAATCCCATCACTACCAGTTCGCTCATGGGCGTGCTCGCTCGTGCACAACGCTTCTGCACATGCGCAGAAACATCTGGGCGGAGTTTCCTGCCGCTGCTGCTACCAGTTCACCCGGTACCAATCCGGGGTGAACCGGTAGCAACCCACCACTGCTGCAGGCCCATCAACTCCTTCATGCGATGAAGACTCCCTGGAACCATTCCCTGAACTCTGGCGGCTTCTCTGGACTAGTGGAGGGGGGTGGTGTTTGGAGCATTGCTCTTGGACTTACAGTGAACTGTGGAACTTTGGGTGGGGGGAAGTTGGAGCAATAAAAGGGAGTTAAAACTTTCACTCTGGCTGTGTTGCTTTTGTGCCCAGCCCCGGGTCAACACAACTGGGACCCAACAGATTACATCCCAGAGTATAGGAGCTGGCAGATGTCATCTCAGAACCACTGTACCACATTTTTCAAAAATCCTGGAGCACCAGGGAACTACCATGTCACTGTGTTTTTTTATTTACCAGCTGAGCTCTCATTTCTGGACTATCAGACTTTCCGTAGCTTGCCAACTTTTGTTATCAGTAACTGATATTACATGTATCCGCATTCCTTTCTTCGACTTCACACACTTTCCTTTGTTCTCTTGCCAGAAAGGTCCGGCTGGGAAATAGCCGGTACGAACTATTTTAAAATGTAACTTATTAGATCAATTAGGTGTTTTATTTTTTTTATAACAAATAAATGAGTTTTCTTAGAAAATATCTTCGGGTTTTGTTTTCTTAAAGTATACTTGCAAGGAAAGGTCTCGATCCGCCCCTCCTAATCAGGTGCGATTATCCCAAAAACAGAATGGGATTAATCAGCGCCCTGATATCTGGTAGCAAGAGGATGGTTGATTTATGGCTTTTTCCTTGTTTGTTACTTTTGATGATAAGCGCATAGGCAATTAGTTTTTAGCTACTGAGGTACGCTAATTATTTTTTGCAAGAATGCCGAGAAAGAAGAAAAAGGGCAAAATGAAGCCCAGAGCTTTATCCTCTTCGGATGAAGAGCAGGAGATAGAAAGACCCTCAAGATTTCAGCTCCTTGCTACAGCCACACGCCTGGAACTAGAAGCCGTGGGAGAAGTAACAGATGAAATGCTCTTAAAAAGGCATCAGGAGAGAGATAAGAGAGATAAGCTTTTGAAGATAATGTGCTACAACTGAGGTCAGTAGCGTCTCCTTCTGAATATGCATGCTCTCAAACAGTCCTCCCAGAGCCTTCTGAATTTGTAATGCTTGGTGCAGGGCAAGATTTTCTACAAACGGCCGTCTACATGGAGGGAAGTAAGCAGTGGGGTAGCACAAAGTTCCATCTTAGGCCCAGTACTCTTCAATACCTTCATAAACGACTTAGATGAGGGAATAGAATTTATCAAATTTGCAGATGACACTAAGCTGGCAGGAATAGCCAACACCATAGAAGATAGGCTCAGGGTCCAGATGGATCTTGACAGACTTGTACACTGGGCCCTAGCTAACAAAATGAAATTCAATGTAAGAGAAAGTAAAGTCTTACACTTAGGCAAGAAAAACCAAAAGTACACATATAGACTGGGAGAAACCAGGCTTAATAGCAGGAACTGTGAGAGGAATCTTGGAGTCTTAGTGGACAACCAATTAAATATGAGCTAACAGTGTATGGTGGCAGCCAAAAAAGCAAATGCAATTCTAAATTGCATTAACAGAGGGATGCAATCAAGGTCAAGTGAGGTATTAATACCACTCTCTAAAGCCTTAGTAAGACCACACCTAGAATATTGCATCCAGTTTTGGTCACCACTATAAAAAATGTTGAGTCTCTAGAAAAAGTGCAACCAGGATGATTATGGAGACTAAAACATATGAAGAACAGTTACAGGAACAGTTAGTGGCTAGTCTAGTGAAGAGAAGGACCAGGGCCATTATAGCAGTGTTCCAATATTTGAGGGGCTGCCACAGAGAGGGGGGGGGGGGGTCAAGCTGTTTTCCAAAGCACTTGAAGGCCAATAATGGATGGAAACTGATCAAGGAGAGATTCAACCTAGAAATAAGGAGAAGGTTTCTGACAGTGGGAGCGATCAACCAATGAAATAGTTTGCCTTTAGAAGTTGTGGGAGCTTCATAACTGGAAACTTTCAAGAAGAGACTGGACTGCCATCTGTCAGAAATGGTGTAGGATCTCCTGCTTGGGCAGGGGGTTGGACTAGATGACCTACAAGGTCCCTTCCAACTCTGTTAATCTGTGTTTGGTATCCACTGGCTTCCATGTCTACTCATTAACTATTATTATGAGCTGTTACTTACTTTCTTTAAATTAAGTCCATGAATAAACAGGAAGCTACACACCAAGAAGGACAGCTATTGGGAGCCTGCCTGAAAAACCCACCTGCCAAGCAAAAGCTCCAGTGGAACTGCCTGACTGGAGCAGAAGCAGCACCTGAACCCACAGCAAGGAGCATGGCCTGCCCAGAGCCCTAAAGCCCCTGCCTGCCTTTGGCCTGGCTGTGAGGAGGCCTCCCCAAAGACTAAGACTCGTCCCAACAGGCCAGACATGGGAGAGCTGCCAAGAGCAGATTTCGCCTGATCTTTGAAAAAAGGGGTAATCCCCGGATCCCTCTGAGTGCTGGTGAGGATGCCTCCCTGAGCTGGGCTCTGGTGCTCCTTTCAGCTCTAAAACGCTTGAAAGCACTGAGTGGGGATCAGCAGGTCATCTGGCTCTTTGGGCTCAAGTATCATAAGGATTCTTGCACTGGGGTTTGCGTGACCCAAATTGCCTGAATTGACAGCACGGCAGCCCACAATCCGTCATATCTCAAGGGCTGCTCTCGCCCAAATGGCTGAATGGAGAAGCAAAGCAGCCCAGCCTCTCTTTGGCTGCATCTCTCCCCAGATGCTCTGCCAGCCTCCAAAGCCTTCTCCTCCTAGCAGCCCTCATCTGCAGGGCAGTGGGAGAAGTGCTGAAGGCCAGGGAGCCCCCACCCCCACCCCACCCGCTTTCTCCTGAGCCAGGCAGAGGCATGAGTTTCTTTTAAGGTTCCTGGGGAAGAATGCTGAGCATTTCCAAAAGCAAACACAGGATCTCACCCTTTCCAAGTGTGGACACAAAGCAGAGATGGGGCTCTAAACTCAGGGAGTTCCAGTTCAGCCCCTCTCCTTATCCCCCTGCCAGCAGGAAGAACCCTCCCCCCACCCAGTGTGTGTGTCAGTGGGGAACACTCAGGAGCCAGGGTTAACAGTCAATAGGAGTCTTCTTCCTTGACACCAGGCATGCCATCTCCTCTACCCAAAACGTTCTATTATTTGAATAAAGAAATGAATAATGCTGCAACCATTGCATTCCTGGCAGGCTGTTATGCCAAGAAAGAGCCATGAGCTCCTTTGAGGAGATGCTGGAATACAGAGAAGAGTTCAACTGAGGGACACATGTGTTGCCTTTGGATTCCCCACAAATAACACCTTGGAGTTGAATCCAGTAGAAGCAGAATACCTGTCACATCAATCAGGCTGCCCTATAGCTGCATAAAGCAGTGGTTGAATATTTATGGAAGATGAAATCAATGAGACCCACTCAGAGCAGACAATGCTTATATTATGTGTGTAAGAAATAAAACTGAAAAACTTTTCAAAAAAAAAAAAAAGAGAGAGAAGACAATGCTGTGGGAAAGGCTGGTTTAAGCAAGCAACATCTGGGAAGCCATCAGGATGAGCACTCCTGAGCATTTCTCCAAACCATGGATGGTCCCTGGAGGCCCTGATCCTTCAACGGAAAAGGACCCATCAATGTGAGCAGACTCTTAAGATGGACTGGCCAACCCCAGTCAGAAAGAACAGTCGTTGTCTTCACATGGACCACGGTGCCTGGTTCTGGATTTTGTTCTAAAACAGAAACATAATTTGGCCAGACAGATTTCAAGTTGTGTAATATGAATGGAAGTGAAATAAGGTTTTTAGTTCAGAAAATGGCAAACTTATCAAAGCTTGACAACTACATTTTTTTTCTTTGAATAAATACTATCAAAGTTTAGGACCAATGGCACTATGAAAATATTCGTATTTATTTCTTAGATTTACATGCTGCGGAATTGGACCAACTCATTCGACTTTCCATTTATTTTTAAGAAGAGGAAGAATGTTTAAGTTTAAAAGAGAAGACACAAATTAGTGGAAGATAGTGGGGGAGGATGTTGTGCAAAGATCAGGATGGGGTGGAAAGATATTTTATCGATAAAAGAGATGTGAAGAACCATGAATGGCACCAGCAGTTTAAGGAGGAAACATGAGAAATCCAGGGACGGGGGTGGGGTGTCTAAGCTGCCTTGATGGAGAAACCATCTTGCAAGCTGCTCTGGAGGAGAGTCAGAGATGTGAGATGGACAAAGGCAGGAAGTTTGTTGAGCAGCCTGCAGAGCAGCCCAAACAAGGCAGCTGTGTGCAGACCCAACCCTGGGAGTCCTGTGCGTCACTTTGTGGGATGGAAAGCTGTGGAGGGCCTGGGGGAATGGGGGATTCTGGCTGCAGCGGCCAAGGCAGATGAACAGCTTG